GGCTTTGGGTGCCCATTTCGCACAAGGAGCTGGAAATCTCGCCCGCCTGGGCACTCCGGGGGGAGCGGGTCCCTGTGAGAGATTCGGGAAGAAAAGGGCAGTGTCCCTCGGGAGGATCTGTCGCTCGCTGGGCTTGACTAAAACAAAGGTGGAGCTGAACCTTTGTGCTGAAAAATTTACAAAAACCCCCAAACGAATGAACAAAAAAAGAGAAAAAAACCCCTTCAGAATGGACTTCTAGATGAGTGGGGGACTAACGTGAACCTTAGTCTAGGTAGCCACATCAAAACATACCGGATTCCACGACATTTGTGCTATGGGCCACTGGGACTTCTCAAAAGGTATATAAACATCTAAAACATATTCACACAGATTAGCAATTTCTTCTGAGCATTCTTAAAAAAATATTATTTTTTTTTTCTCTTAGTAAAATCATTTTAATATACCGTGCCTCCCTCTTTTAAAAAATAAATTAAAAAAATCCAGTTTTGCATATCTAGCGTTAGCATTTAAGGTAGTATGGCACATCCCCTTTTCAAAGGGTGGGGATCTACAAATGCCTTAGGAGTTTGCCAGCATTTTTAACATTGTGAGACCTTTGGTTAGTTGAAACCACATCAGATCAGCAAAAGAAAAAAAAAACAGAGAGGAAAGAAGAAAAAAAAGGAAAACCTTCCCAAAATTATTAGCATTTTTGTTTTCTTAAATAAGAGAAAGTTCTATCCTTACTGGTCCTAAATCTGAATAACTACATCTAAATTTTTAACCTTAATTACGATACACCTACCAATATGTACTAGAAGAGGAGGAGAGAAAGAGGGGGGCAAAAATTCACTACACTAGATCAGGACAGCACTCTTACAAGATAGCCATTTTATACACTATTAACATACAACAATGATCAACAAAGAATCTTCTATGAGGTGACAGGGAATGGAGAGGAAAACCAACTGGTAGTACAGTACATCATCAACATTGACAAAAGAGCAATAAAAAATTCCCTGACGGTCCATTGAATTTCAGGGAATTTGGTTTGCTGTGGTTTTTTTTCGTTTTTGTTTTTTAAAGAATTGTTTTCTTTATTTTGTTACTTGATCAAGTCTCAATATTTAAAAAGCGTCCAGCATTTTGCTTAAACCTGGTTGTTCTGAAATAAGAAAAAAACCTAAAATATTACATAAAAAGCATGATTCTTTTTTTTAAAAACAAGAAAAACAAGGTTTTCTCCTTTCGGTTAGCAGTATGGTGCCTTGTTTTTGTTAAAGATGCCTTGCTCTACCTTGTCTATTGAATGTCTACATTAGTCTACTCGTTAGTAAAATTTACAAAAATAGGAGTGCAGCAGCTCTTTTTAACAAATGTCGCATTCAGTGTCTTATACTGGCTGTACCTAAAGTACCAAATTTATAAACGTAACAATTTAAAAAAATATTAATAAAACCTGTCAATATTACGTTAAAAAAAGAAGAAATATATCCATACTACAGTATGTTCTTAATGCCACCTACCATGTTGTACTTCTAGTTTGCTGTTGCAGGCCTACTTACCAATATTAAAAAAATTAAATTAAAAAATATCCTTCATAAGTTTCCTCCCCCAACAGAGGACCATATATATAACAGCCAAATATTAAACATGTGCAAATAGGAAACTGTCAGTTTTTCCCCTACCAGTCACAGTGCAATGATGTTTTATACTTTATTTTTTTTTTTAAATTCTGTTTACAACTACAATAAATTAAAATCTTCCGTTGCTTCTAGGGTGAAACTTGTAGCACTGAGGTATTCCCAAAAAAACCAACCAAACCAAAACAAAAAAAAAACCAACAAAAAAAACCTAAACCAAAGTTGCTTTCTTAATTTGTTAATACAGAAAGTAATGGATTAAAAAAAAGGTAACCATGCAAGCGCTTAAGCTCTCGCCTCTGCCCGGGCTGCGCAGGGCGCCCCAAGCAGCTGAAATGACTGGACAGCAAGTTGATCTAGCTTAAAAACAACGAGTGAATAAAATAAAAATAAAGATAAAGGTGTGCTTTGAACCTTAAATGAGTTAAATAGGAAAATCAGCGAGTTTCTGTTTCGGTCTGGGGAAAAGCAGGTTTGAAATGAACGAAGTAACAGAACTCCCACCCGACTGCTCCTCTGTCGGCTGCGCACGGCTGCGAGCGGAGATGCTGGTACGGCGCTGGGGGAGCGGGGAGGGCCAGGGGCCCGGGGCGAGCCGGGGGCACAGCCCCTCACCCCTGCGGGCCAGCTCTGGCAGTTGGGCAAAACCTCTACAACTTCTGCTTTTTTTTTTTTTCTTTTCTTTTCTCCTTCCATTTTCCTAGAGAAACTGCCTTAGGCTGACTCCATCACAAAAATAGGTCTGTATTTTCTCTTTCTTAATAGTTTCTATGTAGTTAATGGAATTGTATTTACAGTATTTTTTTGTTTCAGAATTCACAATTTCAAAAAACCTTATATCACCTCTTTCAACAAAAAAAAGCACTTATAGAAAAAAGGACGCACAAAAAGGTTGTAGTCCTTGCCTTATTGCCGAAAATAGATAGAATTAGGTTAAATGAAGACACTACAAACAAAAAAGAAGAGCTAGAGAACCTGCTGCTCCCCTGTGCCCTGCCGGGCCGCCCCAAAATCGCGCCCATTGCCGGCCCTGCGTCCCCCGAGCCGGGCCTGGCGCCTCAGGCTCCTGTCACCATCTCAGCATCCTTTAAGCAACAATGACTACGTAAAACAGAAGGGAGAAGGAGAGGAGAGGGGAAAGAAAAAAACTGAAAGAAACCTCTTAATATAAACAGTTACGCTACGGTTAGGCTCTCGCTAGGTACACAAAGAATTCAAACTACGTGGCTACGAGACTATGTCAAAACGCTACCAAAAAATGTGGTTTGGAGAGGTTTAAAAAGAGGGTGTGGGGGGGGAACCCATCAAGAAAATAAAACGAACAAGAAATGGATTTTATATACATACTTTTAAAAGCTGTTGTTTTTATAGTACAGCAGATTCATGAGATGATGAGAGAGATTTTAAACAACCTAAGTCCGTCGAGTGCCACCTCCAGTTCGTCTGCGTTGTCGGTGATGATGTAGTGCTCAGAGTCTGAGGAGATCACCCCACCGCGGGCCTGCTCAGAAACTTCGCCCCGTCTTGCCCGGACATCCAGAGAGACTCTGAGGAGAAGGCAGAGACGGACACGGGAGAGACAGAGTCAACTGAAAGCAATTGGGATCTTTCAACAAAACCCCCCAGGTGTTTGCAAACGCTCTGCAAAGCTGCAGCCCCTCTGATTCAAGGCTTCAGTAAAACGAGTTTTTTTTTCTGAAGGCATGGCTAAAGTACTTGAAAAGGAACAACTTTTACACAGGCACACTGCAGTGGTGATGATTTATTTTCTAATGGAGGCTTCAGCTTCTAATGGTCTGTTCCTGCCGGTGCTTAAAGTTGAGATGGAAATAAATTTTAGGGGACTGGTTCTGCAGGGCTGGCTGCGGTGAGGAACACCCTGGTCGCTTATTTTTGAGCGTCACCTCCAAAACCCATCCCCAGACACCCGTGCCTGGGGCGAGGTCCCCCTGGCACCCCTGGGTCTGTGGGACGGCCGGTCCCTGCCCCGGGGACTGCAGCTCAGCCAAATTCCTCCTCTGTGGCCACATCCTGCCCGGGGGAGCAGGTGAGGGACTGGGCACCTCGGGATGCGCCGCCACAATAGGAATTTCAACCTCAAGGAATTAATAATAAGGCTCATTTCCTCCTCTCAAAGTCTGTTTTAATTAGTAACGAGCAACATTGAAAGCACTTTCTGTTTCTAAGTCGTTAATGGTTTGAGTCTTAATACTGGCCAGTAAATGATGGTTACAGTTTGATGTGTTGTGGTAAGTGTAAAATGATGACAATACATTAATCTGACAAGCACCGCCGGCGTTGCAGCGTTATTAGTGTGAATTATGATGTCCTGCCCAGGTCTCCAGCCGGCACTGTGAACCACCTCGGCGTTACCCGGGCTGACGGCCCAGAGAACGGGAAGGCTTCTGACAAATTGATCTGCGAACATACACTGAGACGTGCACATAATAACTGGGATTAAAGCAAGAGCGCTTATGCCACTTTTTTCTTTGCCATAAAAAATACTACTCGGTGAAGCAAATCAATTGGCAGAACTATTTCAGGTAATCTTGGGTGTATGTGGGTAGGCAAAGAGTAAATAGAAAACCCCTTTATCCAATAGTATTGAGGTATCAATCTATTTTTATATAATTTAACGCCTCCAAACATTTTCCACAGTTCCCAGCCCCTTGACTAACTGTAATTCCAATGTCATACACTGATTTTGAAAGTAAAGCATGTGACATTGATCGGGCAGTGCCAGGCTAAGGCAGAGAAATAAAATCTGTCACATCCATTACCCTCGTCTGCATGGGCTGAGAGCTCAGAGGTAACCCTGTGCCACTGAGTGGGGCAACTTCTGGTTTTCATTGACTGCCTTCTCAAATCTACGCTATTCTCAGTGTAAGAATGTTTGTTTGCAAATATGAATATGCCAAAGGCCACTACTACTACCACTACTACTACAATCCAAACATTTAATTAACTTGAGCTTAGTTCAAAAGGTAGGAAACTGGCAGCGACCCAAGGATGCATTACTCAGGTAATGTCTTTAATTTAATTTGCTTAGGTTTAATTTTTTTTTAATCTTGCTCTATGGTTACTAGTTACAATGTTCTCTTTTAGCTATAATATTTGGTACAGCACTTAATTAAGAATGATGGTTTCTCTGTAATAAAGCAGTGGGGCTTGTCGATTTTTAGACCAGAGAACTGGGAGCAGATCTATAATCCCCATCAGGATGCTGTCGGCCGGCACTTGGCCATTTTCCCCCAGGTTTCTGGGATCACTTTTTTTTTTCCTGTGGGGTCTTTGGCTCTCCAAATTATTGCACTAAGTGTCACAGATATGAAAACGTGACTTTTATTTATTTTAATTTTGGGGGTTTAGCTCCTGATCTGCCTTCCAGTTTCCAACCCATGAGACTGATTTGAATAACGTAAATCACAGAAAGGAATGATTAAAGGCCAAGGAAAGACGAAATGAAGATTAAAAAATTGTTCACTTAAAAGTAAATATAGGGGAGATGGTAGTTTAGCACAAAGTACAAATGGTATATACTGTAATACCTCCAAGTGAGATGGCAACCAACCATGTGTAACGTTTCAATGGTATCCATTTGTAAAAGCCGTTGCAATCAAAGGTCCCTAAAATTGTACAATTGTTAAGTTCATCAGTGCTCTAAACATGGGAACAGATGATTATCAATTTTGGCAAGAAATTATCAAAGGACTTGAAAGACTGTGTTGCCAGCATGAACAGGTATTTCCCAGAGCTGTTCTGGTCGCTCGGTGTGCTGAACCCTACGGTTCCCTTTCCAAGACCATCATCTTCTCATTCCCCCAGTTGCAGAAAGCAGCTTTTGGGGTTTCCCTTCTTTATTTTTCATCCAGGGTTAGTAAATGGAGAGTGTTAAATAAATATATATGTCAAAAAAAAGCTATGAGATTCTTTGCAGTTATTGGGGGAAATGAAGAGGCTGCCAATCTGCAAGTCAAACACAAAATCGTTCTTTGGAGAAGAGTTAGTGCAGACAAATCCAGATACCCAGGCTTGTACCTCGCATCCTATTACTTGAAAAATTGGGACGTTGCTGAGGCCAAAGCGCCCAAGTTTTCAAAAACAAACAGGTCTTTTTCCTTAGGTGAAAGACAGAAATAAGAGGTGTTGTTAAGTGGTGCGAGATGGCAGTTTAAAGCGATGTAGCTCTTAGCAGAGCAATAATAGTCCACGTTTGGTACCAGAATTGATCCAAAGGGATTGTCAAGCCCCTGGCATGACCATGGGAGGGGCAGGACTGGGACAGGAATTGAGCACAAGGGCCCAAATGGAGGCAGTAGGTTTGGAGTTTTTTTGTCTTTTTGGGTACTGGTTGCTTATGTAACAAAAATAACAGAGTTTCAGGAACTTTATCTGCACTATGCTCCCGCTCCCCCGTTCATTCACTTGAGTGAAATCCTCCGCTCAGTTCGTGGGAGCTCAGGGGAGCCCTCTGTACTTTGTCATGTTTAACCGTACAAGAGGAAAAAAAACAAATCTCATCATTTTACTACAAAAAGGGAAACAAATTTCAGTCGCAGTTTTGCTGTTTGGGAGACTGACAGCCACCGAAGAGGTCCAACCGCATTCATGCTAACACACACAGGTAAAACAGCGCGGTCCGAACACCAGCATGCAGCTTCGTTAAGCAAATCTCCGTTGCCCGTCATTAGTGAGACTGCAGACCCACACGCCATTAAAAAGGCACTTTTCCCACGACCTGACGACAAAACGAAGTGACTTAGTTGTAGCCTGAGGATTTTAAGGACCGCTGGCGATGCCAGAACCAGCTGGAAGGGACCCAGGAGGTCAGCAAATGCCAGCGCCCACCCTCAGAATGGGCAAAGGGGAGTGTGACAGCCCCATGGTCCACATTCATTTGCTTGTTTAGGTGGGCGCAGGGACCAGTGTGTTGTCTGCAAATGGGTGCATCAGCACCTGGGGACAGGTGGTTGAGCTGATAAAAAGCCCACACAGAATCATTAAGGCTGGAAAAGACATTCAAGATCATGAAGTCCAACCGTCAACCCAACACCACCATGCCCACTAAACCATGTCCCAGAGTGCCACATCTGCACCTTTTTTGAATGCTTCCAGGGATGGGGACTCCACCACTGCCCTGGACAGCCTGTGCAGATAGGCAGAAACTTTAAAGCTCATAATTATTAGATATTTTCTTTTGAAATGTATCAAGTCAGACTGAGGAAGGCACCAGACAAGGGTTTCCAGTCAGTAACCGGAGCAGCACAGCTCATTGGCAGCTCTAGTGTGTTGGGCACAGTCTAGCAGGCTACAGCAAGGCACTGCGCTTGCCATAAGGTCACAATTCACCAAAAAAACCAACATAAACCCACCCCCAACATCATTAAACAATGAAACCCCCCCTCACGACCGAGAAGGGGGCCGGTGGTACTTACGGCGATCCCGTGGCCGAAGCCGGAGCCCGGCTGCGGGCTGGCGGCGCTTATGTAGTTACCCACGCCGGAGTCCTGGCTGGCCGTGCCGTACAGATCCGCGACGGGGCCTGGGCTGTTGGCCCCGGGGAAGCCTCCGGGTCGGGCTGGGTTGGAGCCTGCCGGGGAAGCGGGTGCGCCAAAATTCGGTTGAGCACTGTAGCTATTCAAGACTGGTGTGCAGAGAATAAAGCTGGGTATGAGGCCAGACGCCGGGCATGCACCGTTATTACAAAGCCAAACACCAGAATAAACAGCCTAGGCCCAACTTCTAACACTTAACCAAGGCCATGCGATAGGAGAGCAAGTACTGGATAAGAGTCAGCCCGTACTACTACGAAGCTTATAGCTCCAAAAATATATATATGGATATATATAAAAAAATAAAAGAACAATCATTCAACACACTACTGCAACCAGAGACTGGAGGTGCTCATTTTCACCAAATTATCACAAAATATAATAGATATTTTTCAACATCTGACTTGATGCTCATGCAGTAGTAACAAGTTCTCTAGGTCTGGGCACGCCGAGACAGCATTCACATCCCATGCAAACTACAAAGGAACTAGTTTGAGACTACACATTGTGGTAATATTGATATTAAAATGTTGACAGCAAATCACTTCAATCGCGTCTAGGAAAATTGTTTTTGGATCCATTCGATACTTTTGAAAAAACCTGCCCTTTTAAATCAGTAAGCTGCAGAAATAGTTCAAGAGTTGATTTTTTTTTTCTTTAAATGGTATGGAATGGAACAGTTTGGAATTATTTCTTTTTTAGTATGACCAAGGAGAGTGTCGTTTTATTTAATTATTTTTTCCTTTCGATTTGGAGAGCGAAGACCTACCTTCGTCTCCAAAACCATGCTTGGGACATCAACCAAAATTAAACAAATAAATAAAGATCAAAAGCAAAAAAGAATTCCAGAGGGTGTATGACAACTCACCTCCTAATGTGGAAGTAAAAGAAAATTTTATTTTTTTCCTCCCTTCATTTTTTTTGTTTTGAGACAGAAAAACAATGTAAATAAGAATGATACTAAAGAATAAATTTAGATATTAAAGCATGTTAGATGAGCAGACTTCTGGCATTTCTCACAGTTGCTCTTGGATGTAAAATTTATGAGTAAGAGGTTTCAGTGCAAAAGAAATGTCAGCGGATTAGGAGGAGCTGGATGGAAATGGCTTGCGGGAAGCTGGAGCTACACCTGGGTGTACATGGAGGTCCTCAGGGAACACACGGAGACTCGCCTGCCCGCCCCGCGATGCCCAACTACCACCTCACCGCACCCCCGCCACGGGCAGGCACTGGCAGTGCCACGGGGATGGGAGGAGACCAGCAGCAGTGACAACACCGCAGCCCTCCCCTGCACCCCCGGCACAACCGGCAGACACCACCATCACCTCCACCTTCACGGCTGCACCGAGAGCTCTTCAGCCTTTTCCTCTGGCTGCAACTTCCCCACGTTATCTTCATTAAAGCACTAAAAAAGGGTTTATACATTTTTGAGAGCCTGCAGTTACCCTTGGCCGACTGCGGGGTTCTACTGAGGATGAAACCAGTTTGGGACAAAACCCCGCTCCCTCGACAAGGGCAGCCCAGGGAAGGCTTTGGCAGCACCTTACGTGGGCTGCGGTGGGCTCAGCCCAGGCTTGCCGCTGGGCCATCGCCTCCTGCCCTGGCCCCTTCCCAGAGGTCCCCATTTTTCACAAGAATGAATGAACCGGACAAAAAAAGTCAACCCGGCAGCTGTCAGCTCTGCGATGACAGGAAAGTAAATTTCACAAAATAAATGGTTTAATGCAGCTGTAAACGGGGAGCAGGGGAAAGTAAGTAGGACATTTAAGCTAGCAAGTTAAAAGAAATAAGGCATGAGCGAATAAACAGATTTTGGAATTCACTGGCAAACAAAGCACCTTTTTTATTATTAAAGATTAAATGTCAAGATAACATTTGGCCTTCTCACTCATGAAGAAAAATATCCAGCTGAGATGTTCAAAAGCCCTTTATTACTATAAGCTAGCACTTTTCTTCCCTTTTCTTCCTTCTGATTCAATAAAATGGATGCAAGGTTCACTGCCAAGTCACACAGCAAACCCAGTCGGCCAGGCTGAGCAAAGGCAGGAGCGCAGTAGAGGGATGGAGCACGGCAAGGGGGGGGACCCTGTTAGTAAAATATCCCTGCAAACCCCCGTGGCAGCGCCAGGAGAGCCCACTGACCACCATCACCTTGGGGCCAAGCAACTGCCCAAGCGATGCCCAGAGTCACCCCAGCCACTGTCACTTACAGCTCCGAAACGATGGGAAATCGCGGCTTTCATACGTGCAGAAAGAGCTGTCAATAGGTTATTCAAAACTCCTTCTGACTGAGGCTACGTAATGTATGAAAAAAGGTAATTTTATCATAGAATCACAGACTGGTGGGGGTTGGCAGGGACCTCTGAAGATCATTCAGTCCAACCTCCCTGCAGGATCACCCAGAGAAGATCACACAGGAACATGTCCAGGCAGGGTCTGGATCTCTCCAGAGGAGGAGACATCATTTTCTGCCTGCAGCACATCAGTTTAATACTCCACATTGCTCACAGGGGTGCCTGTGGAAAAAGGGGCACGCTGAGAGCTCACCCACCGCTGCATTGCCTGGGAACGGCTGCACGGAGGCTGGGGATGCTCCGGCACCGCTCCTCACCGCCCTGCCCGGAAAACCACATAGAAAAGGCTGGACGCTTTTACAGAGCTGACACTTTGCTCCAGACACAATACATGAAGCAGAAAAGCTCTCCTCACTAGTAGGACGTGAAGCACTCCTCAGAAAGCCGCATTTTAACAATTCGCTCAGCCATGGCGAGTTGCTAAATATTTGCCTTCTTACAGCAGCTTCACGTAAGCTCACCTGGAGCCAGAGGCGCTGTTACCATCGCTCAGAAAACAACGGAAAAGGGACCTTGAACAACTTTCCCAATGCACAAAATGTGATGTGTTCTGGCAAGAAATACCTGCAAACAAATTTGCTTTACACAAAACTGGAATAATCTCAGAAGAAAATGAAGCAGAATGAACCCCCCTCAAATCCTCTAGAATCTGAATACTGTTTCAGTCCTCGAAGAAAAATTAAGCCTCTTTGGAGACATGTATCTTTATGACAAAGTCCCCGATGTTGGCTCAGTCTCTGGCGGAAGCAGAGCTGCCCACAGCTGCCGTGAGCTGCGGGAATCGCAGAGCATTAAGATTAATGCCTGGAAGGAATCGGAGACTTTCCCCCGGCCACCAACATCCTGCGGTCAGACAGGAAATCATGAAGGGCAGAAGTTCAGAAGCACATTGCTGAAAAATCATCAGGGGCCTGCACTGTCCCAGGAGAGGGGAAGGAACCACCGACCGTGTCTTGATGCTGATCAGTGCAGACCAGGAGCAAAGCCCGACCTGCTGGTCCCAGCAGAGGTCCTGCCTGAGCTGGCCACGCATCTCCTGGCTTTGGTTTGCTGGGAGGACCCATCAGACTAATTCAGCACTGCCTGGGGGTTGCCAAGGCCACGTCCTCCACTTCCAAGGTCTGCCAGCACTCAGGAAGTCCTGGTAGTCAAAGTACCCATTTCCAACATGTTCTGAAAGGTTCTGGTCCAATTTACCAACCAACTGCACAGGAAACCACCCTGCACCAGACGTTTTCACAGCTCCGAGGCTGTGGCTAAGTGCCTCCAACTCAAGGGTTTCCTCTGCACCTAATTTACAATCCCGAGTGTCACCACTGATCAGGGTCAGGAGAGGTGTGGAAAAGATTAGATGTGTCTGTAAGTCACAGCTAACCATCTTTTATCTCCTTCTCTGGGTTACAGAAGCTCCTTCCTATGCCTACGGAGATCAAGAGACAGCAGCCAAGAGATGTGGCAGCGATGGGAACAAGGAAGTTTAAAGTAGTGTCTGCTTCACTTTGAATTTGCTGTGGTATTTCTTACAGACAAGGCCCCAAGTCTGTGAATTCTGATCCCTAAGTGAACAATTTCATTTTTCAGAGGCGATGGGAAGAGACCGAGAAATGCCACCGCTGACAGGGCTGGAAACAGACAGGAGAACCTCAGACCCCGTGCCTTGCCACAAACCATTGCCAGTGCTTGGTATTTACAGCCGTCGGGTTTTGCTATGGCAAAAGCCGGGTTTGCTGTGCTTCCCTGCTGCAGCAGGTGCCCGCATGCGGGGTCTCATCTTGGGGATGCGTTTGGTGCAACTGTGCAGGTTCACGGCACCCTTTCCTCCACCCAAGCTGCATCTCCTCAAAGAAGAACCTACTGGAAGTCTTTCTGCTAAAATAAATATGGAGAGAATTTAAAAATAAGCAAGGCTATTTTATTAGTAACTCATCTTGGCATCCTTTAGCAGAGCTGTCTTTAACCACATTTAACATGTGTGTAAGATGCTCCTCAGTGCAACGTTTGGACAGCAAGTGGTTGTCCAGGAGCCGAGAGCTGGAGCCCGAAATGCACCTGGCAGCCCAGGCTCCCGCAGAGGCAGGAGGCTCGGTGCTAGGAAATGCTCTGCCGGGAGCAGGGATGGAGCTTGTTGGAGCCCTTATCAAGTGCCGTTTCCTGCAAGCTGCCATGTTAACACAGACCCTGCTCACACGCTAATCCACATTCAACAAGAAAGGTCACCACTGAAAGATAAACTCGCTTTCGATGAACTCCTGAGAAATTTCAGAGTCAGGATTCATTATGACATTCGCCTTAGCAAATGGTGTATTACGCTAACGAGGATCCACACGCCTCGCTGCAGGGTGCTGAGGGCAGCCGGGTACGGCACAACAAGTCAGACACTGGAATCCCACCCAAATAAACTCAA